TGGCGCAGGTCTGCCTTTCTCGTCCCGTCTGGTGGAGTGGCATAAGACGGAAGGTCTCTTAGATGGTACGTAGGTAGGTATCACGATTGAGTCTTGCCCAAGTCTCGGTGTGACGGCAAGGATGATTGCTGCCATGCTGCCAGAGACCTTACACTCATCTGTCGCAGTGGTCACTGCGAGCGGAAGTAATTCTTACCGGGCTGGAACGGAGCTGGGACGCCACAAACATCAGCTTCAAAAACCATTTAGCGACTATTTACCCCGCGTGCTCATTAGGTGTGCTCTCGGTACTTGAATGGATGCAAGTACATCACTGACAGTGCAGGACTACCTTTGCCGCACTTCGTACGTGTTGCCATCCCATGTTGTCGGAACACAACAATTGGCCAATTGGAGTCCTACTTGCCGTGCCTCCAATGAACAGACTCTCTGACAGTTGTGAAATCGAGTCCCGGCTACGAGGCCTGGCATCGAGATAGGTATCATTGATTGAGGGAACAAGTTACAGCCAGTGTAGGGTACTCTAGCTGCTGGCTCGCATGGCATGGTGCATGGCGTGCGTGGTAACAAGTCCACGAATGTCATTTCCAAAGTCACAGTTTTTGACGGCACTGGACAAAGCGAATCGATCCTCAAGCGGAACCGAAGGCTACCTGCCTCCACTCCCGGCCGGGAGTGTCTGTTAACAGTCACCGAGGTGATGGATTGGCAGTATCTCCGGGCCGCATCCGTCTGCCAGTTGCTGGTCTGATGAAAGTAATTATTCGCCTCTCTGCCAATCTCCGTTTCGACCACAGAAAACCCAAAATGCTCCAGCAGTACTCATTTCGGCAGGTGAGACGATGCATTAAGGTACCGGGCACGTTTCAGAGGCCACAGCGCCGCTAGGCAAATGTTTTATTGGAATAAAATAGAGAGATGGTTTTGTTGGCGGGAAAAATTCCCTCTCGGGTACCTCGAGGCAATCGACCTCGCATCGCATCGGAGCTCAGAGCAATGCGATCCCTAGCCTGCAAGAAATATGCTAAATGAGATCTGAACCCCACAGATCCGATGCACGGACGCCTGCGCTCCCAGCACGTGTCACCCAGGGCTTTCCAGAGCCAGTGAGCGCCTGCCCAATCACCGAATCTTTTTCTCGGCGAAATAAAATCAGACCCTTGACGTTCCAGCCGACCACTCACGGAATACATCATCATCTTTCTACAGCATGTTTCTGATTTTCTGATTCATGACTTTGGTGGCCCGAAGATTCCGAACGGATGCAAGGGACAAGCAAGAGTAGTTCGATGGGATAATTCCCGATCTGACTTGGCATGTCAAGTTCAATATAAAAACTACGGATCTCTGTTGCGACGAGCCCTCGTGGCGGCGGTTCATGGAAACCAAGATTTTTTCGGTCGGAGCGATGGTGGGTTCAAAGCGTGTTGGCCATGCACTCATAAATTAATTCTGGACTGCAAAGTGGCATGTGTCGTATCTTGGCGCGCATCAAACCAGAACGACCTTTTTTTCACCTCTGTATCATTGAAACGTTTTGCCAACGGGCTCTATGTAACCTGCGGTGCGAGGTAATTAGCTCTTATATTGATCACCTTTTGGGGCCGCTTGACTCCCGGTCGATCACAGACTGCCCTCATCGGGATCAGATTGATTAATTAGTGATACCCGGACTTGAGTCTACAATCGGGAACTTTGGGGATGTATAGTGGTAATGCGCCAGCGTGGCGTAATCAATAGTATCAAGTTATCTCAAGGCTGATTGTTCATTGCTGATAGTGTGTGTTGCCATCAGTCATCGACCGCATTGCAATCATGTTTCAAGCCAGCCACTGACACTATGTCTTCTTGAAACGCCGAGCTAGTGTCATTGGCAGCTTCATTTGGTATGGCGCGTCGATGAGAAACAATGGTTTGCTGCGGTCTTAGTGATATGTCAAATATCATCACTTGACCTCCCCCGATAACAGACACACCAGCCGGGCCCCAGCACAATTCTCCCTGAACTCGAGAGGGCGATGCAAGCCACGAAAAGCCTCCCAAGAATTTGGGTGGTCCCCGAGTCGCCGACCGACTTGAAGTCTCCCTCTCAGACTCCCTTATCCGAACATGGGACGGGAGATCCTCCCGGCCTGGGGTCGAGGATGTCGCAATCGTTTCCGGCGGCGCACATCAAAATGCTCTCTGGGGCGCCGATCACTGGACGCCCCCAAACCCACCAGGCGGCAAGCCTCTGCCAAACCATGACGCCTCCTTTCAAGACCATCTAAGCAAGGGGCCTTTCCCCATATCAACTCTTGATGCGGCTGAGGGGATGCCATCAAGGCGTTTGATATCGCAAACTTCCGAAAAGTTCAGTCCCACTCGAATCGCCATCTGAGAATCTCCGGGCATCTCACCTTTCACAGTTCTCCGGCACCGAGATGAGACCTCGACGTGGGATGTACGGTAACACTGGTGTATCTCAACGCTTCATTGCGTCCTGAGCAGGCAGAGGCCAATGTGACGGCCACTATCCGATCACCTCGCGGCTAGATGTAGGAGACATACCGAGTAGTGTACATTTGTCATTGCCTTTTTCTCGCTTGTTGGGAAATATCCGTCTTCCAATTCGGTCCAATCAAGGTAATTACCACCGTGTCAAACGAAAATGCTGTACGACTGGACCACAGAAACACTGACTCGGAGACAGCCACGCGTACGCTTTGCATTCCTGATATTTGCTTTTCTCCCTGGCCGAAATCTTTCGGACACAGAAATCTCCTGTCATCTAAAACCTGTTCTCGTATCTGCGAGTTTTGTCATTCGTTTGGCGCTTTGCCAAGATCAGGGGGTCGACCAAATCACCATGTCTGTTTACTGAGAGCCATACTTCCCCTATCCGATCTGAGACTTGAGCGGGAGTCCGAGAGCAAGCCATTTTTCGACAGCCTTGGAAGCACGAGCGAACAAAAGCAACAAGGCATGGGCACGAGCACAACACAGCTGAGGGATACACAAATGTAACAGGTAGGACGGCAAATTGCCATCTAGATATCCTTGTCGCACGGTGTGATACCTATCCCACGTGCTAACCAAGTCGATTTCCGGTACGCCGTCCTCCCTATCTCTCGGCACCGGTCAGATGGCATCTAGATCTTACCCAGATGTTTCCGTTCTCCCGCAAGCTGTACTCCCCGAGTATCCTGCCGATTCGAGAAAGCCAGCGGTCTCCGCCCACACCGGTGGGACTCTCTGGGGGACTCAATGTCTATCTGTACCGAGGACTTGATACCCCTTTTTGTTTTGGTTTGCTTTTTGTGACGCAAGGGCCTTTTCTCCGTCTTGTCCAAGGATAAACCTCAAGGGCTTGGAAACCTCTAACTTTCTGGGAGGCTTTCAGGTTCTAAGCATTATAATTGGACGGGCGTCAATAGATGGGAAAAAAAGAAAGAATTGTGGGCCGAATCACCTCCTAGCTCTTGCATGCAGTGTCATCCAGCGCTATGAAGTAGATACACCATCCAAGTACAGATCCGGCTGGTTAGCTCGTACTGCAACACTCGTACAAGGCACACAACACAAGCGTAAGAGATGCAGGAAGCACAGCACATACACAAGGTACTGTACAAGGTTGCAAAGTGGTTGACAGGAAGGTGGCATGTATACCGACCCCCTGATTTTTTTCTTCTCGGACGTAAAAGAAGCGGTTCACTTCGACCACTCTAGATAAAAGACAATACATACATACTATATACCAGGCAGATTTCCCAGGGAGGGAGCCAACATTAAGGGTCAAAGCTTAGCATATGTACTCAGGTGGGAGTGTATCCGTAAAGGGGCTCGAATCAGAGCAATACAGCTCACATCATGTCGACTAATTTCTCATTGCATCTTGACAGGTCATATATTCCGCATATGTGGGTGCTCGGCTCAAGGATAATGAGCTTTCTCAATATCTGGCGGTTAAAATAATTTTGTCCTCGAACTGCCCATGTCAGTGCAAAATGACATGTCATTTTTTCCAGGGCTAAGTGTTTATCCAAGCCGTCCATCATCCCACAGCATTTTCACCTCTCCTGTATGACTGTGGGGGTTACCGTGGCCGGAGATGTTTGAATGACACGACATGCAAACACCAACTACTGTGCTATCATGTATGTCGGGCAAATTAATTTATCTGCTTCAAACTCCCGCTCACACAGGAAGTACCCACGTCGTATGAACACACATGGGAGTGATGTCACTGTAAAAAAAGTTTGCGCGCGTTTGAGCTATATTGTCGTGAGAGGACAGCTAAGGACTCGACGGCGATTTGTGAGATTTCATCGTTGAAAAGTCTTTGTAGAACCATTCTCTGCCGTGTTATTACTCTCGATGGCAAGAGCCTGCTCATCAGACCGAAATCGTAGTTGGACAACGATGGAACTGCAGAGAGAGCTTCACTTCACCCGTGGATGCGTCCCATGAAGACAAAATTATCCGGCCTTCCCAAGTCTGTGGCCAGCTACAAGGCGATACTTGCGTTCTATTTGGATATACCCCCAAGACTACCTCTGCTGAAGAGACCTGCGAGGGGTTGTGACTCCTAGGGCTGGTTTTCTACCTACACCCTCAAGACTTGAAAGACGTCATGTGTCTGTGGAGATGTACGCATACAAAACAGCTGGGCTATTGAGCCTTCGTGAGACCTGAGTAAATATTAAAACACTTGGACCTATAGGTAGTTGTTAAAGGGGTCACAACAGTTAGGGTATCATGGGAACCTCCCATGACAACAACAAGCCATCTCTAGATTCACGAGTCGACATGAGCCTGAAAGATGATGCTGTTGAACGGTAAAAAAGTTCATCAACCCAAGCCCATGAGAGGGTCTTCCTTTGTTTACTGGCTCCAACAATCCGCCCCTGAGCAACCATATCAACACTAACAACATAACCCGCTTTCCCTCCTACATCCATTTACAGGAGAAGAACAAAAAGGATCAACACAAACCCGTCTTCCTTTCCTTTCCTTTCGTTTGGACGAGCCCGGAATCGAACCGGGGACCTTCCGCAAGCTTGGAATGAATATGCTAAGCGGGCGCTCTACCAACTGAGCCACACGCCCTTGTTGATTTCGTGTATTGTTGAAATTCACAGGTGGATTAAGTGGTTTTTCTGTATAATGGTTTCTGTGTAAATGTGCTGGGATTCATGATGGGTGTGGTGGAGTTGAGAGTTGAAGTGGTGGGGGAGCAACAGAGATTAGATAACAGACCGTTGGAAAAAAAAAAAAAAAAAAAAAAAAGATAACCGATAACCGATACCGTCAGGAACACGAAAAAAAATCTCTTGAGGGTTCGGGTTCTGGCAAAGTTAATTCCCCGCTATACCAATTTAGGTTTAGTGCACTGGGTGAAGGAACCTGGGTTTCCCTGGACGAAAAATTTCTGGCAACGGATCGAAAAGAGAGCCTTCCGACTCAACCAATTCTTCATACTTTACCACCCTTTCTGCCTTTGCCTGCACACCACGAGACAACCAAAACAAGCCACAAAGTCGCTTGTTTCCTTCCCGCTCTCTCAAACACACAGCCAAAATGTACGTAACGTATAGTCTTTTAAATCACCACACACCCGAAACTCGTCACACATTGAGCACCCCGCTAACATCTAATCCCACTTGATAGGCAGTCATTTCGTCGCGCTGCTCTGAGATCTGCTCTCTCAGCTTCGAGAGCAGTCTCCGTTAAGGCCCCTACCGCCCCCTTCGCTTCTACCATTGCCAGAGCCGCCACTGTTTCTAGCCGGGTGTCGTTCCAATCTGTGCGCTTCTATTCCGAGGAGCCTCTTGAGCGGAACGACCAAGGCAGTGTTGAGATCCAGGAGGCTGCTCAGGAAACTGAGGTTTCTCTCTCCGAGCAGGCCCCTACCCAAATTTCTGGCAGCAAACGTAGGAGCTCCTTTGTCTAGTTTTTGCATGGCAAACTTGAAAGCTGACAGACCGTCAATAGCCCATGCTGCTTTCGTCCGCAACCTCGTTTTCGAGGTCACCGAGGCCCACCTCAAGGAGGCTTTCGAGAAGTATGGACCTGTTCGTGAAGTTTACATTGTCCGAGACCCCCGCGGTCTGAGCAAGGGGTATGTATTTTCTCACATTTTTCAGTCATGGTTGCAAATTTGTCAATGTACTGACTCGAGGTCTCTAGATTTGGCTTCGTGACTTTTGAGAGCAAGGAGTCATTGGATGCTGCTTGCGAGAATGTTAACGGTTCATTCTGGCATGGTCGCCGCATTACCTGCATCCCAAGGACCTACCAAACCCCCAAATCAGAGAACTCGCGCGGCGCTCCTGCCAATGGCAATTATGCCCCCAGGGAGCCTACTACACAACTCTTCATTGGCAATATCCCTTACGAGACTACCGACGCTGAGCTCAACAAGATCTTCGCCGATGTCCCCAACCTCCGCGACGTTCGCATTGCTGTTGACCGCACTACCGGCTGGCCCCGCGGCTTCGCACACGCTGACTTTGCAGACCTTGAGTCGGCCAAGGTGGCGCATGCTAAGCTCCAGGGTGCCCAAATCGGCGAAAGAGTCCTCCGTGTCGACTATGCCGATGGCTACCAGAAGAAGAGATCCAACGATTCGCGATAAATGATGTAGAGTGTGGGTAGGCATGGATGGCTCGGTGTGTTACGGCAGGCAGGCTACAAGGGAAGAGACCGGCAGGCATGGTGATAAATTAGATTTGATGAATACCCAATTATGCTTTCCTCTGGAAAATCGAGGACGGTGAGGGAAGGGATGGGACTTACGGCCACCATCACCGGGCAGGCCGGAGAGCCTTGTACATTCACAAGCATTTTATTTTTGTATGAATAGTAAAAATTTCCTCCCAGCTCGTATGTATTTTGACATTATTGAATTGTTGCAAAACTTTTCGGCACATGCCGCAATGTGGGGTTACCCCCTGTAGCTTTTGGAGTACCGGAAAATGGATAACCTGCCTCGGCATTTAGAGGTGGCGGGCACCCAATCGCGGCTCAGCAACCGTACAGTATGGTGGTTCATCATTATTATGGGACTTCAACAAAGCTTCCGATCTCTTTTCATTTTCCAAAACTCTTCTCTCTATATTTTGTCATTCATTCTTAGTTTTGCAATATTTCTTCACAGGCTACATTGTTTTGAATCCAAATATCATCAACCCTTTTTCTCCGCCCCTCCCAATCCGATTGGCTCTTTAATTGGCCACCGCCCTTCCAAGCGCTGAGCCGGTCCCCACGCGGGCCCTTTTTGTCAGCCAGTTCAACAGTTCATCAGGCCGCCCATCCGCCAGCGACCTCTTCCTTTTTCTAACCAAACCTCCACCCCTTCTTCTCGTTGATCTGAAAGCTCTTTTTTTGTCCGAAACCATGTCGTTTATGGGTGGCGCCGAGTGCTCAACTGCGGGTAACCCGCTGAGCCAGTTTACAAAACACGTTGGAGACGACAAAAGCCTTCAGCATGACAGGCTCGTCGGCAGAGGCCCGAATGCCTCCCTCGGTGGCTTCAGGAGCGCTGGTCGGAATACACCCCAGGACGAGATGATGAACGGCTTTTTGCACCAGAATCCCAACCTTGCCGAGATGCCCCTCGAGCAACAGCAGGGTCCCATGGGCCACGTCCACATCGATCCTAACCACAGCGTCCACCTTCGCGCCCAGACCGCATCGCCCATGTCGCCTCAATGGGCGCCTCCAGACACCCAGGCCGCCATGGAAGCTGCGTTCAATGCCCCTCCTGGTACTCAGTTCAGCCCCGAAGAGTTCGCCAAATTCCAGCACATGAATCCTACCGTCTCTCACGCCGCCACGGTCCCCGCCGCCAGTGCCAGCATGGCCCAACGGCCCATGATGATGGGAGGCGGTATGAGCTACGGCATGATGCAGCGGCCCATGTACCAACCAATGTTTGGTGCCCAGATGCACATGGCCCAGCTCCCAATGCAGCAACAGGAAGTTGAGGGTAAGGGCAAGGAAAAGGTGGTGGAGCTGGACGAGAATAAGTGGGAGGAGCAGTTCAAGCAGATGGAATTACACGACCAGAAGCTTCGCGAGACAGAGCAGGACGAGGCCGCAGCAATGGAACCGGAGTTGAACCAGATGGACGAGAAGCTGATGCGGTCCGAGACTGGATACGGCGATCTGGAGTCGATATGGCGTGGCATCCAAGCTGAACATGAGCAGTTGAAAGAGTTGGACGAGATCGAAGAGGACTTTGCCAAGTTCGACAGCTCCAACTTTGGCGGTGACAACCTCCACGACTGGGGCCTCAACAACCGACTGGGAGCCGACCCAATCGTTCAGGAGTACTTGTTTGAGGACGAGAATCTCTTCCAGGCTGCAGGAAACCCATTTGAGGAGGGTCTGCGCATCATGAACGAGGGCGGTAACCTTTCTATGGCAGCTCTCGCATTTGAGGCTGCAGTGCAAAAGGACCCACAGCACGTTGAGGCTTGGGTCTACCTAGGTAGCGCTCAAGCACAGAACGAGAAGGAAGATGCTGCTATTCGTGCGCTCGAGCAAGCGCTGAAGATTGATCCCAACAATTTGACTGCGCTTATGGGCCTTGCAGTGTCGTATACAAACGAGGGTTACGACAGCACCGCTTACCGCACCCTTGAGCGCTGGCTTTCAGTCAAGTATCCTTCAGTCATTACTCCCAACAACCTATCTTCCGCGGCTGATATGGGCTTCACCGACCGTGCCCAACTTCACGATCGCGTAACCAACCTCTTTATCGATGCTGCTCGCCTCGCTCCCGATGGAGACCACATGGACCCAGATGTCCAAGTCGGCCTCGGCGTCCTCTTTTATGGAGCCGAAGAGTACGACAAGGCCGTGGACTGCTTCCAGGCCGCCCTCCACAGCTCAGAGATGGGGACGTCTAATCAACGGGAGCAGGTTCATCTCCTATGGAACCGTCTCGGTGCCACTCTCGCTAATTCTGGTCGCTCGGAGGAAGCGATTGCCGCGTACGAGAAGGCCTTGTCCATCAATCCCAACTTTGTCCGCGCGCGGTATAATCTCGGCGTCTCGTGCATCAACATCGGATGCCATGCCGAGGCTGCAGGACACTTGTTGGCTTCGTTGGATATGCACAAGAGCGTGGAGAAGAGCGGCAGGGAAAAGGCTCGCGAGCTCTTGTCCTTGGCCATGGGTGACAGTAATCCTTCGACGGCCGATGCTAGGATTGAAGTCATGATCACGCAGAATAGAAGCACGACATTGTATGATACGCTGCGCCGAGTATTCACCCAGATGAATCGCAGGGACCTGGCTGAAAAGGTGGTCGTCGGCGTCGATCCTGCTATTTTCAGGGGAGAGTTTGATTTTTGACGGGGAAGGTGATCACAGCATTGTTGAGGGGCCGAGGGGAAGGATCTGGAATTTGATGGGAACTGAGAGGTTATGGGAGATGAAGGTTGACATGTAGCACAAACCCCCCCCCCCCCCCATGAGCACAAAGATGTATTTGAAGCATAAGTTGTTTTGGTTATTGGTTTATTTGTTTTTCGGAGCATTGAAGATTCACATTGGTTGGTGTTAAATAAAAATCATCATGTGGGGACGAGCAGTCTTCATTTGCATACATGAAGTAGCTGCAGTGTTTTTTTTTCCTTCTCTGATTGGTTTTATATATATCTTTTCGAAGAAGAGTAGCGTCTCATTGTATGTCACAGATAATTGACAAGGTTTTCGAAAACTGATAAATAAAGGCCTTACACACATGAGACATTCTCCTGCTTGTTGACACGGATGTCTCGGTTCTTGACGAAGAAAAGGTCTACATCCCCTGGGCAGCAGTTTAAAACTCTATACCAAATACCTAATTAAAGGGATTGTCTCTCAACCAACTCTTGATCACCACGGTAATCTCACTATCGAAAACGTAAGAATGAAGATGTAAAATAGTCACTCCCAAATAACATTATCGCTCATCTGTAAAGTACTATAAACCGCTTGATATGCTATTGCAGTGGGTATATAACAACAACATACGACGCTCTTTTCATCTCCCAGAATTCTTCTATTTTACCGCAATAAACCCAACACCCGCTCTGGCAACCTTTACAGCTTTTTTC